ATATTTATTTTTCTTAAATATTTATTTACTTAACGCTATAAGAGACTTTACTTATGTATTTATTTACTTTCATATTAATTTTTTTTATTAAGTTTTAAATTTTAATTATGTATTAAATCACATATTTTATTTCTTATTTATTTACCTGGGTTTATATTTTTTAAATTATTTAGATTTATTTTGATTATATATATATATTTTTTTTTACTTGTACATATATTTATATATGTGTTGTTTTTATTGACAGATTGAGGACCTGTCGTTGTTTTTAATTGACAACAAGACGAGACCCAGAGGCTTTCAATGACGTAACCACGTAAAGCGTAAAGCCAGCGTCCCTTACGCCCGGTGACGTAGCGGATGTTGTCATGTCGCTATCGTGCTGCTGAATCTTTGTAGCGGAGCTGTTTGTGAATCGGCCGCTGACACAAATGTGTTTTTAGATAGTTTGTCGAGTTTGTTCGGAGCTGACAGCGGAGAGTCTGAAACACATGAACCCACCGGAGAGTTCACCGACTGTTAACCGGAAGAAGAAGAGGACAGCGGGCAGCTAACGGAGCTCACCGAGGCCACAGGGGGCAGGTACCGGAGCTAACAGCGCTACTGCAGCACGATCCCCGCTGAGAATCACCGCTGTTTTAATTTGTGTTCAGGAAATCAAAACGTACAAACATGCTGTGATAACAGTAAAGAGTGTTTGTGAAAATATGGAGTGTGATGTTAAATTCGGCACACAAACAATCATCAACTTTCATTTGTAAAGTAAGACAATCGACTTTTATAAGTGGTTCACACTCGCAGTTAGCGCCCTGAGCTAACGTTAAGCTAGTCTGGAAATAATTATATTTTCAGCTCAGTTTACGTGAAGTGATTTTTATGTCTTAAACTGAGCAACAAAAGAACTGCTCACAGTCTAAACGGTAAACTGTGTAGCTACATCCGGATCTCCGTTAAGAATTATTACTATTTTGAATTGTACGGCTTTAACTGAAGTGTACATACATGCTGGGTTATGAAGTAATATTGTGTCTGAATGTGCACAGTATTCTGGTTAGTTCGGCTTATAAATAATCCACCAACTGTTTTTTATAAAGCTGAAATATCTGTTTTTATTAATAGTTTGCACGCCCTGAGCGAAGCTCCTCGTGACCTCCAGACAGCAGGTGGATGCTGTAGATTAGGCTGTTTCTGGTTCGAGGTTTGGTCTGAGTGTGTTTGTTTCTCCAGGATGGCGTCACCCTTCAAAATCCCCAAGAAGAAACAGCGAGCTGGCGCTGACTCCGCCCCCCTGTACGCGTCACCACTGTCCTGCCTGCAGAGCTCCGCCCCCGACCCTAAGGTGGTATTACAATATGTCAGCCCGTGTTTAAGGTGGTATGAGTGATCTGTCAGCCTCTCTCTGTTGCAGTCGTCAGTTTTCAGTGTGGCGTGTCGTTTTGTCCCAACAGGGTTACCAGGATCAGTCCAGCAGCGGCAGAGCTGACAGGGTGCATGCTGGGAACACACAGAGGTGTGTAGAGCGCCCCCTTCAGGCCTCACTGTCATTGACATCAATGTAAAGCTTCTAAAATCAATCTGAACCTTTCGTCCAGCGCGTCCTGTGAGCCGGTCTTCAGAGACGTGGTCAAAACGCTGCTGGGACTCAACTGCCCGACCAGAGGAGCGTCAGCAGCCAATCACAGAGGAGCATCAGCAGCCAGTCGCAGAGCAGGCTGGAGCGGCCAGTCAGAGCCTGGGCAGAGAGCGGGGTCGTCCGCGGCGTGTTTCTCTAACGGGTGAGTTGTTTGTTGTTGTGATGTCGGCCGTTGATCGTGAAGCTGCTGATTGTTTATTTTATTGTTTGTGAACAACAGATTTGTTTGTTTAAATCTCACGTCTGTCGCACTGAGTGTTCCTGATGCAGCTCTGGGCAGTGAGCGCTGTTGTTCCGTGTCTCGTCCACCAGATGGCGCCCTAAGAGAGCGTCAGACCGACTGCTCCAGCCTGCTGTGACCTCAGAGCCTCCGTCTCCACCACAGAAGAAGAAAAGTGACCTCAGTGGTAACATTTATGATGTTTTGCTTTAAATAACAGAGACATAAATATTCATTCATTCATTTTAATGGTTCAGTGATCGTTCATGTTTCCTGTACTGGTCTGTGAGGAGCAACAGGAAATATATACGTGAAACAGAAGAGTGAAACATTTCTTGAAGGATCAATAGTTAATCAATAATCATCAGTGATCGATCTTGAACCGTCAGGCTGGCAGAATAAAAGCATCTCTGTGAAGTCACTGGACTCTCTGGCGGAGCTGCGAG